GAAAGTAAGGTGGATGCAACCTTGTTCAAACAAATTGTAGGATCTCTTAGATATATCTGTAACAGCAGGCCTGACATCAGTTTTGGAGTTGGTTTAGTTAGTAGATTCATGCATGATCCTAGGCAGACTCATCTTGCTGCAGCCAAGCACATTCTACAATACTTGAAGGGAACAACAGATTACGGTCTTCTCTTTCCCAAGAAGTTTCACAGCATAGGTGGAATTTTGGAAGCTTGGTGTGATTCAGATTGGAGTGACGATCAGGTGGATAGGAAGAGCACTTATGGTTACTTGTTTAAGTGTATGGGAGCATCAATATCTTGGTGTTCAAAGAAGCATAATGTTGTTGCACTTTCGTCCTGTGAAGCGGAATATATAGCCTCTCCAGAGACTGCTTGCCAATGCGCATGACTAGAAGCAATTCTATGTGAACTGAAGATTGAGCACAGCAAGCCAATACAGCTAATGGTGGATAACATATCAGCTATATATCAGCCTATCCAGAAACCCAGTCTCTCATGGCAGAAGCAAGCACATAGAGACCAAGTTTCACTACCTAAGAGATCAAGTTAGTAAAGGGAAGTTGGAATTGGTGTACTGTTCCACAGAAGAACAGGTTGCAGACATTTTCACCAAAGCTTTAAGGCAGAACAGGTTTGAGAAGTTGAGGGATTCTCTTGGAGTTAAATCCCTGGAGAGTTTAGTTTTAGAGGGTGTGTTGTGAATAAAACTAAACTGTTACGACTTTAACTGTCAGATGACAATCTGTTCATTTTATTCTCTTTTATATGTTATACATATATACGTTGTTGTTAATGAGAAAAATTGATACTCGTTTTCTTTACTTCCAATGTTTCGTACTCTACATTCCTCCCTGTTACTTTTTCTCAAACACATAGCAGTGTTAACATACACGACTTCAAATGAAGAAATTATGTATTTTTAATCGATTTCTGATATGAGAGTACTGGAAAGTGAAAATGTTTTGTAATTAATTACGATGAATAGGTAATTTATTACTTTATGTTAAAACCGTTAAGAGATAAAACAATTTTTATTGTAATCTATTACATAGATATGATAATTGACGAAAATTACTCACCTTGTCTTCCAACAATTTCAAAATAAGATAATCAATTCTCTATTTATCATAATTAATTACAGTATGCAGAAGTTTACTACTAACGACTTTCACTTTCTAGTAATAACATATTAGAAGTCGACTTAAGGTAACCAATTTTTTTTATTTGAAGTAGTGCAATCTCTACACGACTTACATATTCTCTTAATTTTAAAAAAATCGGCCAATTTTCATAATTTCTGAATGAGATTTTCCTATACAAGTAAAAAAACCAACTTGGTAGATCCTATCTAGGACATGCAAACAGGACAGGGATTCCACAAGCTCAATGCAATTGAATCAACAATCAATATGGTGTCTTTGGAGCTATTAAAGAAGCATTTAAATTAAAAAAAGATTGGTGGTACAAGTTTTCCTTTACATGTATCCTTTAAATTAATATCTTCGTATATTGGTTCTCCGGGAAATACCATGTAGTACAAATGACCTCAACTAAGATAAATAACAAGCTACTGTTTGCAACTTCTGATCTGACATTGGAAACAAAATAATACTACAATACAAATGACAGGATTCAATCTCTGTAAATTTGCTTTTGGATTTATAAATGGTTATGTAACACTTTCATGTTCAACCCAGTAACTTTTTAGGGTGTGTCTAATGGTTGTTTAATCCACATCTGCATGTACAAAAACATTTTTGCAACTGTGTATTAACTGTTAAAAAGTCAATAATTCTAGTCATCTACCGCTAAACGTGGATATGTGGTATAAACTATGTTTTTTGTCATGTTGAAATTGTAGCTACTATTAGCCGAAACTTTACTGTGATTTACAGTTTTAGCTTGAGATGGATAAACTATCTGACAGCATTATACATTACAGAATGCAGATAGTAACATATTCAAATGTCTCCGTCCCAAAGTTCTTCCAAGACCTATCTTCAGATAGTTTTTTCTCATGTTTTTAGTATATGTGAATTATTAAAAGTCACAGCTGATAAATAAGTTCATTTTTTTTCTGAAATTTTATTGTTCTTTACTGTGTTTTTATTTTATAAAATTTGTGAATTTTGTACTTTAATTTTTATATATTTTTTATTCTATAAAATTTAAAATCATCTTTTAGCTTTTATGAACTGCGTGAATTTTTGTTTGAGTCTCTACGATTTATTTTAAACTTTTATTTCTGCAATGGTTTTGATCACTATTTGGAGTTTCTGATACTATTAAAGAATAATAATATTCATGTCATGCATCTAAAGAGCTTTTTGTAGTTTAAAGTGTAAACCTTATATTACAATAATGATAAGGATAATTTATAGTAATTATTTAAATTTTTATTTGACATATAAGTAGCTAATTAGTGTTATATAATTTAGGAAGAAAAATAATAAAAGAGTAATGCTCCGGCTAAAATTGAACCCATGTAATTTTGAAGTGCCATGCTATGTGAGGTGTGCAACACTAATTCCTTTTGCAATTCTAATAGGTAGTGTCAGATCAAAATTTCAATTGGAACAAACAAGATGATGATGGTTTTTGTTTGTATAGTTTTCTATTTAACTCGCTAATGAATTCTCTGATTAAAAATAAAATTAAAAAGTATATACTGCATACCCTTAATTGAAAACAAAATGTTAAAGAACAGTAAATAACACAATAATTGCTCTAGCAAGAAAATTATGTGTCATTGCTAGCAAGAAAACAACATCCCTTGATTCCAAAATTGCTCTATCAATCTGCTAGAACAATTGTCAATTTGTCATAAAAGCTTCACTAAATCAGTAATGAACCCTAACCAGCGTCACTATCACATTTGCAAAAGCCAAAATAATGAAGAAAGATAATTACATTTATTTAAGTAGACAGTTTTGATTTGTGGAATCAATCCTTGTTAATAGAAATTATCTTATGTTCCAACCAAAGTTATTGCAAATATCATCAAACAAAAGAAAACTGTAATTACACGGATAACCAAGATATTAGTAGGCTAAAAATGCTAAAACTGAATATTGCCTTAAACTACTATTTGGAATTGTAAAGAAACTATGTAAATAACTTTTGAATGATAAAAGAAAAATGAAAACCAAGTCACAATTCAAAAATAACAAAAACTACAAAATCTGACTAAAGACTTTGAATTTCACTTAAAACTCACTCCAATGCTAATCACCATGCTACAAGGACTAAAAATTAATACCTAAGCTACCTAAACAAAAAACTTAACTTCTAAGCAAGTTCTAAACGATGAAAGAATGCTAGAAACTAGGCTAATTACTACAATTACAAAGAACTACAAAATTTCACCTATAAGAACCTAGAAATGCATCCTAAACTAAGCTAAGACCAGGATTGCACAAAATTTAAAAGTAAAACTGTAAAGTAACAATCAAGACAAGTTTTAAATGCTAAAAGACTGTCAAAAACTAAATTACCTACTCACATAAACTAGAAAATACTACAAACTGTAAAGTTACAATCAAGACAAGTTTTACAGGTAATTATATCTATCCTAAACTATCATAAACTAAACTAACTATTAAATAACTTAATTCTTCAACGAGTCACCCAAGTAGCTAGTCAATGGGTCACTTATCTTTAAGCTACTGGTTAATGCAGGTTTACACAGTTCTTCAGTTGTGTATTTTGGACTCCTACTGGCTATTGTAGGTCACATTTGTATTAGTTGATAACTCAGCAGCTCCAGCATCTTGACAACATGTGCAGACTTCAAATGGTCAATCAACTTCTACTACAATATGTCAGCAGTTCCAACTTTCTCAACCTCGGTTCAGCTCTTCTCAACAGCTTGCTTCTCCTGCACAACATCAATTCTAGCAATTTTAACTATACAGCACGTGTAGACTTCATTCAGCATCTTACTTAAGCTCAAACCCATGGTTTATTTGGTTCACTACACAAGATTTGCTCATTTCTACGTATTGACTAATTAGAGCAGCTTCTTTCACTTCTATACGTCAAAACAACTCAGCACAAGTGTGAATCAATGTCCTTTTGGGCTTCCATCAGCTGTCATAGCATTTGGAGATCAATTCCAAAAAGTCAACTTTGGGTGAACTCTCTGGTCAACTCTGCATAATTGCCAAGCTAATTCTGAGTTGTATGTGCTGACTAGTTTTGATCACCATTTCATTCCTGACCTTATTTCATTTAGCTTCACTACAATTACAAAAACACAAGTTAGAATTACCATGCTATTCAAAACTACCTAAACTAGACTAGGCTAAGTCACTAAGTTAATCTTGCTAAGAACTAACCAGAACTGCACCTACAATTCTCCTATCCTAAACCTGAATTATGACCCAACACAACTATACAAGTAACTTTAATCTATACAGGACTATTTAAGCAATCTAGTCTAAGCTACACTAGTCTACTCTTAGTTATGAATTATTACTAAATCCATTTACCAAACTAGGTTACTATCTTTTAACTAAATTCCTATTTAATTCTATCTTCTAAAAATTTAATCAAACTAAGAAACTAATATCTAAACTAAAATTCCACAATCCCAGGCTACTCTAGAACTAATTCTAAGACTAACACTAAAATTGCACTACAATTGCCTAATTAAGCTAAATTTATAAAACTAACCTGAAATGCTTCCTAAACTAAATCTAATCTAAAAGCTAAAAATTAACAACTTAAATCTACCCAAAACAATGCAACTAGTCAAGAAAAAATTTAAGAATATGGGACTTATCAGTAGGAGAAGAACGCCAAACTATAAAGCAACTTAGAAGATCCAACCTAGGACACGCAAACAGGACAGGGATTCCACAAGCAATCTTATGCCCTGCTTGTAGTTTTTTTGGGTCAAAAGTGAATGCAAGCTTGGTAACTGAGCAAGTTACGAAGGGTCAAGTCAGCAACTGAATCAACACTAAATATGGTGTCTTTGAAGCTATTAAAGAAGCATTTAAATTAAAAAAAAAGATTGGTGGTACATGATTCTATTAATCACAATTTCACAACCCACTCAGGCGACTAAATGTCTGAGAAGACACTTTAATCTTTTCTGAGTTACAAAATAAAGATGCCAATGAATTCCAGACAGAAGTTTCAGGAAGCTTTCCCTGGCTCATCATGTCCTCTAACCACATAACTGCTTCATATTGCCTACCTAAGGAGCAAAGACCCTTAATGACAGAATTGTAACTGTTGGTACTGGGCCAGTATGACTTAATTGACATTTTCTCCAGAAGTTGGCTTGCCTCCACATACCTTTTCTCACCACAAAGCATTTCCAGCAACATGCCGTAAGTATCTCTGTCACCTGCACTACCTACCTTGTTCGACATCTTGTTCAAGCTCTCGAGTACAGTCATAGAATTTCCAACATTGTATAGGCTTTTCAAGAGAATGTTGTACACTCTAGCAGTTGGTAGACAATTAACTTTCACCATGTCTTCCTCAATTACCTTGATTGCTTCGTTCACCTTACTAACCTTGCACAATGCAGCTACTTTTGCCTCAAAGATAGAATGTGTTGGTCTAAAGCCTCTGTCTTGCATTTCCATGATGACCTTATCAGCCTCATCTATCTTACCTTCGGTGTACAGATCAACAGACATGGCATTATAACTAGCCAAACTAGGAATTGAGCCTTTGATTAAAGCTTCATGAATCACATGTTTAGCACTTTCTATATGTTTGCCATCCAAGAACTGGCCAAGATCAGGATGGTTATAACATCGCTTCGGAGCCTTCAGTCCTTTCCTCAAAATTTTACCTAGAATTTCCACAGCTTCTTCAAGTTTTCCAGCATCACATAAAGCATCCAAAAGAGTTCTATAGACTACAATATCCTCACCATTACCTTTCTGTGAGATCCTCCAAAACATTGAATACAACAAATGGGTGGCCTCATGTAACCTCCTGTCTTGGCACAATCCCTTCATCAAAATTGCATAGCTGTCCCTATTAGGGTAGCAACTTTGATAATCCATCTCTTGGAATAACTGCAGTGCCAAATCAGAGCGACTCTTCTGGCAAAGAGCATACATAAGCAAGTTCAATGCTCGAACCCGAGACCTCACTTCCCAACCACAAGAGCTCTCAACAAAGAGATGGTGGGCAATTTCAAGCCGGTTCTCATTCACCATTATCTGCAAAATGGTGTTGAAGGATTCTGTCCAATTAACACAGTTAAACTGAGGAATTGTTTTGTACAGAGACATTGCTTCATCTACCTGGCCAGCATTGGCATATGTCTTAATAACAGACACAAAAACAGAATCCTTGCATTCACATGAATCCTCTCTCATCTGCTCAATCACATCCCTCATCTCAGTCAGCCTCCCTGATGTTCCAAGGATGTTGATCATGGTGGCATAAACAGGACCATTGTGGCAGTAATTGGGGTACCTGGATTTGGCTTCATTGAAAATGTGAAGAGCCTTTATTGGGTTTTTCTGGGTTCTTATAATCTGAGAGAGATAGGTTGGTGTCAACCGTCTTGGCCATCTTATGCTCATGGAATCGGGACACAAACCCAAATGAGTCTAAAACTATTCTCGCTATTTGTCTATATGTTACAATCTAAATGGCAATCAACTCTGCCCAGATTTCGGATATCAAAACATAACCTGAAAATAAAATTAAGAGTGCCCACACTTCTAGTTAGCAAACTCTTCTTACAGGTGATAAATTCAGCATCACATAAAAAATTGTAAATTAAATTAACTTGTCAAAGACAAAACAACAATAAAGTTAAAAGGCAACAATAATAATAATAACATCAGAATACATGTACAGGTAAGAGTGGCAGGCTAGCCAGCCCCGCTTTTAAAATGCGACTAAAAAGTCTAGCCCGCTCCGCATAGCAACTGGCCAGCTGGCCGAGCGGCTTTTTTTTCTTAAAATGAAAGGCACATTACAAAACCACATCACCCAACAGACCTAACAAATTTCAGCAAATGCAAATGGTAGACAAATGTCACAGCTCAAACGAAATCAAATCAAGACAATAAAGCATATTACATCATTCCACCACAATTAAAAACATACTAACTGTATGATTCAGACAACCAGTAATCGGAATCCAATGTTCTTCATTCAAACCAGAAACACCAGCTCTTGCCGGACCTAGACATAATCGCACCTAGAAATCGAGACCTCACATTCCATTACAGGGACAAACAGAACGCACCAAAATCCAAAACCACCATCAAATAGGAACCCAACAAACAAAACGAAAGGTGCTCTGCTCTCTCTTGAAACAGTTAATCAATTCGAACCCAAATCACACAGATAACAAAATGAAACAGAGAGGGAGGGGGATAACCTCGTCGGCGTCGACAACGACGGGGGTTTTGCAGCGGCGGTTGGCTGGGAGGGAGGGAAGGAGGAGGAGACGCTTCGGACGACGGCGTTGGAAAGGTCGTTGCCTTAAGCTAGTATTTTGATAAAATTGAGATCAGATCAAAATTCGGCTCCCAAAGACCAAGTTATGACTTGAAATAATTGGTATTTATATAAATAGTAAAGTTAAATATGTTTTTGGTTTTTTATTATACAAAATTAAAAATTAGATCCTAATTATTTAAAATAAAAACTATTTTAATCCCTCAAATATAAGGGTGATAAATGATAAGCCAAAATCTACAAATATAAGAACTAACTTTAATTTCCTTCCAATATTTGCATTGTTAACAGAGATACAACATGATTAGTCTAGATCCGTCCTTAACAATTCTAATTAGTATTTTTTATTATTATTATAATTGTTATCTAAGTACAATTTTCCCACATATAGTTCCTATATTAGTTAAACATAAATCTTTCAACAATTATGAGAATATTTTAAATTAATTAATAAAAATTTAAAGTTCATTTAATGTAATTAAGTTTGCTTTTGCTAGTAAAGAAAATCATTTTAATTTATGATCACTTCTTATGCCTAAGCTAGTCTACTTAAAACAGCTTTGAGTTTAGCCATCTGCATTTTTTCCCCTAAAATGAAATCAAGAAAAACATTTTCCTTGTCTCCAAATATACCAAAAAATTTTATGGTTGTCATTTATTTATCTATAAAGCTATGTTGGTTTAACCTAAAGTATTTGACTGAATTCTCTTTAAAGTTTTGGATTGTATTATTTCTTATTTATAAACTATTATAACTATCGAAACTTGAAGAAATATAATATTTAAACTCTTTCTGGTTTTTGGGATATGAATATTGTCACTACTTATATATAGGGTCTATGTGATGAAAAAATGTTACACATTTAAGAAGTTTTTTCTTTTCCTTTCTGGCTTTCAAACAGCTTGGTAATTTAATTGAATTAGTTCATTTGTTTAAATGTTTGGTCATCTCCAAACTCCAAAATCATAAAATTACTAATATTTGAAATAGTGCTAATTAACACTTTTGGAGTTATAATAATTGAGAACTAGATAAACAAATGACAATATTACCAAGCTTATAATTTAGTATAGGTGTAATTATAACTGATTTGAAGAAATAATCTCTTCGTTCTTGTAAAAACTGTTTTTATTTTTAAAGAAGTTGTTATTTTACAAAAAAATAATAATAATTATCACCAGACATATCATTAGTAAATTAATTAGTTTTCTTTATAGCCCTAGTTATAAATTAATAAAGTAAAATAATAAAAAAAAGGATAAAAAAATCTTAGCAATATTTTCATGGTAATTTCTAACAATGAATAACTGTTGTTTAATTCATTTACACTTTGGTTAAGATACTCGTTAAAACAACATTACGGTCGTGTATACTAATGTTATGATCTGAATTGTTGCAATTTTTTTTAATAAAAATTCTTTACTAAAGTAAATGTCTCATCTGGTATAGACGAACCTTGATATCTCTAAACTAGATTCATATTTTTATGGAAAATCTAAAAAGAAATAAACCGACACTAGATTCTAATAAACCTCAATAATATCTATACATAATAATAACTGTTAGTTTTTTATATATTTATGTGAGGTAGAGTTTAATTAAGGAGGGATATGATAATAATTGAAGGCTTAATTAATAAGCTAGCTATATATATAGGTGGGAAATATATAATAATATAAAAGTGTGATGCATGCATGAAAAAGTAAATTGTTGCTAATTTATTGAGAATTTGCAGTGACTTGAAGAAGCAGAAGGTGGTGCAGGCTCAGAAGAAGGTGAAGGCAAAGTTGGGTCAGTGATCTCTCTAAGTTGAGAATGCATGTTGTTTATGAAAGCCATGGACTTCTGTTGTGGTTCCACCATTGCTTCTTTAAGCTTCCCAAGTGCCAAGCAATATGCTTCCTGCATCCATCGACATTTTACACACTCAGAGTTGGTAATGAGCAATGCTTACCTAAAGTGTATATATAT